GTGTTTATAAAATAGTCTATGGTGTATGGTCACATTTATGACATGCTCAAGAATAGACAAAACTTAGGGCTGGGGTTGTGGCTCAGTGGTAGAGTGCTTGCCTAGCATGTGTGAGGCACTGGATTCGATTCTCAGCACCACATTATAAACAAATAAATGAATAAAGGTCCATCAATAACCAATAAAAATTTAAAAAAATAAAAAAGGATAGACAAAACTATTGAATTAAAAAACAGAAAGTGGGCCTGGGGTTGTGGCTCAGTGGTAGAGTGCTTGCCCAGCATGCATGGGGCACTGGGTTCGATCCTCAGCACCACATAAAAATAAATAAAGATATTGTGACCACCTAAGACTAAAAAATAAATTAAAAAACATTTTTTTAAAAAAGAAAGCAGTCAACTTGAGGGGTTATTGACTCAGAAGGGAATGGAGAATTGTGTGAAGAAAATATTCTACCTTGTTTAAGATGGCAGTTTCATGCATCTATATATTGTCAAGATTTATGAGAGTGAACATTTATGATTTGTGCATTTATTATATGTTAATTATACACTAATTTTTAAATGAAAATACAAAAGGTTCTGAGTATTGAGTGATAATGTGGTCCCAAAACAAAGAAGGGGATGAGAGAAGTGATAGCTTCATCACAGTCCATGGAAAGATGGACCCTGTCGACTGCTCATCACTTCAGCACTTATGCTTAATATAGTGCCCTCTTTAGGCAGAGGGACTTGAGAAAGGAGCCCTCTGGGCAGACTTAGTTCCAAGGATTTGTGGCTTGCAAATTAAAGGTTGTGGGCTAACCCAGCCTGCACCGACTTCTTTCTTGCTTCCTTAGCCTGATGTGTATAGGTCCAAACCTATAGAATATATGTGGTGACCCTGGACATTGTCATCATTTAAAGGGTCCAGGAGATAGTAAAGGCTGGTGGCCAGACACTGGAAATCACTTGAGACAGCCCTGTAGATCCTAGACATTAATGTAAACTTTTCCATGAAGTTTTAGTTCAAAGGCATGTCCTTAAGTCACTCTTCTTTTCTCCGTCATTGTGTAGGTTCTGCAGTTAGGTTACACTTATCATAAGGGAAAGTGAAGAATAAAATCAAGAGTACCTTCCTTGACCTCTGGAACATCTCTTCTAAAATGAGTACCTCCTGAGATTTTTGTCTGGAGGCAGAGGTGTTGTCATCTGTCGGGACAGGTTGCCCCTGAGGATTAGGGGGGAGCTTCCTATTCCTACCTGTCCTAGGCAGCACCTGATTAACCAGGCCTTTAAAAACCCAGGCAAAAATGACTCCTGAAGCTGAGCCTTAGGGATCAGAGCAGCCCTGAGGAATATAGGCAGTCCTGTCCTCCCTGTCCCAAGGCAGACTCCTGCGGGAGACACCCTGGAAACCCTCAAGGCGGGCCTCAGACGGCCATCTGGTGCGGCCAGGACTCCATACGCTGCTTCTTCAGCCTAGCAGCCTAAGAAGGTTCCTGCTCCCCAACCCCTCAGATGCACATCTCTAGGCAACACCGTGGTCACTGTGACGCAAGCGCAGGGTCAAGCACGCGCAGGCGAGTGGCAGGGCCTGTTGAACACAGGGAGCAGGTTTTCTGCAGGCTGCCACTAGGCAGGTGGAGGGTAGTACTGCAGTATTCAGGGCGGGTCCTCTGCCTCGCTCCCCTCGGAATGCAATCCGCAATCCGCCAGACCTCTGGGTTGCTGCTCGGCCCGGTCAGTCGTGGCAGTTTCACATGAGGTGGGCACGCCTGAAACTAGTCTGTGGATCTGATTCTACAATGGATGGAAATGATGTCTTGGATGATACTGGATTGGAGAATGGGGCCCGTACAATTGAGAAGATTCTCGAGTCCCCGATTGAAATTGTTAACTGAGAACTCCTTGACTCTGAGCCCAGTGCATCACTTGGAGATGGGCCTGGGCCAACCTGGCCCTGGCCTCAAACCCTAGGGGCCCCAGTATCTGAGAATAGTCTTCCGTGAAATGAAATGGTGCATGGGTACAAACAGAAATGCAAGGTACCGCAGTGATTCACGGGCAGGTGCATTGGCAACCCAGAGAGGGAGTGGGAGAGTGCTTCACGAGCAGCTTTTGGTCCTTCCAAGACTTAAGGTGGCACCAAGGCCCTCTTTCCACTGGCAGTTAGGACAATCTCCTGCCCCAAGAAGCCTCATGAAAAGAAACTATCTGGAACCAAAGGAGGAGTCGTGCTGAAGGCCACGCTAAGGTCTGAGACAAGGAGAGATCCTCGCACTACGGGCCACCAGACCTCTATCCCATTTCTTGGTGAAAACAGGGGGACCCGAAAGTTTCATAACGTGTAAGCAGTCACATGCAAGGAAACAGGAACTGGGTATCACTACAGAATAAAAAGTGCAGAGGAAATGGCAAGTCTGAGGATGGCTGCATTTGAATGAATCTTCAGATTCTAGAACATTGTTAAACGAATGGGCTCTGAGATCAAGGTTCACCTTCACACAGAAGGTATGGAACCCAGAACACTGAGGTCATTTTGTTTGTTTCTGAGACAGAGTTCTGGCTGCTTTGCTCAGGCTGGCCTCCAACCCATGATCCTCTTGCCTCAGCCTCTCCTGTAGCTGGGCAGGACTCCACACACTGCTCAGTATATGTGGATAGGGCCTGGGGCTGTAGCTCAGTGGTAGAGCGCTTGCCTCCAACATGTGAGGCACTGGGTTCAGCCTCAGCACCACATAAAGATAAAGGCATGCTTCCAACCACAACTACAAAAAAAGACAGAGAAATAAATAAATATATGTGGATAAAGAAACACTAATGGAACTTATCCCCAAGGATTTTGTCCTATAATTGGGAAATCTTATTTGTTCATAACACAAATTAAGGACCATCAAAGATATTATTATAGCTATATATTATTCTGTTGTACTGGTGTAGCAAATTTCCCATTCTCCCTTGCTAAGCGCAGCCCTATGACTAAATGAAATGTCATCATAAGTGATATATGTAATTTTCTTTTTTTTTCTCTTGGTACTAGGGAGTGAAGCCCAGGGGTACTTTAGCACTGAGTCACATCCTCAGCATCCCCCACTTTTTTAACATGCTAGGCAAGCTCTCTACCACTGAACTACAACCCCAGCCCTATTTTTTGAGATAGGGTCTCACTGATTTGTTGAGGGCCTCACTAAATTGCTGAGGCGGACATGAACTTGCAATCCTCCTGTCTCAGCCTCCAGAGTCACTGGGATTAAAGACATGCACCACCATACCTAGCTGTAAATTTTTAAATAATTTCCAGTCTTCTCTGCTTATAGCCACGTATATACCCATGTTAAAACCCATGTTTATAGCAGCATAATTCACAATAGCCAAACTATGGAATGAGCCTAGGTGTCTGTCAGTGGATGACTAGAGAAAGAAAATGTGGTATAACTAAAAAGAATTTTAAAAAAAGAAAATGTGGTATATTTACACAACAGAGTTTTATTTAGTCATAAAGAATGAAATTATGGGGCTGGGGTTGTAGCTCAATGGTAGAGCGCTTGCCTCGTATGTGTGAGGCACTGGGTTCAATTCTCAGTACCGCATATAAACAAATAAAGGTCCATTAATAACCAATAAAATACTTTAAAAAAGAATGAAATTACGTCATATACAGGAAAATAGGTGTAACTTGAGAACATTGTTAAATAAAAGCCAAACTCAAAATGTCGAGTCATTTTATCTCTTATGTGGAAGCTAGAGTGGGAAAAAAGAAAAGGTTCTGTGTGTGTGTGTTGTGTGTGTGTGTATTGTGTGTGTGTGTGTGTAGGGAGCTCTCAGGAAAATCAAAGACAGATCAGTACAGGAAAGAAGGACTGGGGAAGGAGAGGAAAAGGGAAAATACTGAGGAATGATATTGGCTAAATTATATAGTTATTATCGTGTACTTGTACCAACAATATATAACAATTCCACCATTATGTATAAAAATATGGAAAAAAACCTTTTCATACAGCCTTATAGCTAGATGGACAACTTGACTGGATATGAAATCCTTGGTCCTCTTGATAGTCTCAGTTATTCAGGTATTAGTTTTAGAGCCTCTCAAAGTAAGTGGTAGTTAATTTCTTCAATATCCTTAATTGCTTCTTTTCCCATTTAACTTGTAAATAAAAATATGAAAAATGTTAGACTGTTAAATGTTATCCAAAAATCTGGATATTAGCACGGTACAGTGGCCCACACCTGTAATCCCAGCAGCTTGAGAGGTTGAGGCAAGATTGTGAGTTCAAAGCCAACCTCAGCAAAAGCGAGGTGCTAATAAGCAACTCAGTGAGACCCTGTCTCTAAATAAAATACAAAAATAGGGCTGGGGATGTGGCTTAGTAATTGAATGCCCCACTACCCCACCCAAAATCTGGATATTGATTATAACTCCAGTGACTAAATGAATTTAGGCATATCTCTTTTAATCCAGAGTTACTGTGTGTCTTCATTCTTATGTGGGACCTACTTACAATCTGAAGTGAATTTCAGTCTCCACCCCAAGCTTCTACTTTAAAGGCCTCATACCATTTCCCTTCCAGTTTCCTTTCACCACTGTCCAAATATTTTATAAAATATTAGTATACTACCATTAAGTACTGCTAGGAATTAATATGTATAATGACTCCATGTAACAAAGATAAAAATCATCTCAGAAAACTGGGTTCAGAAAGGATGATAATTGGTGCATCACAGTCCTAGACATTTAAGCTGGCACAAAAGGAAATAAGTCATTGTGCATACAAAATGGGCAATGTTTTAATGTTTTTAATTTTAAACATTAAAATGATGATGGGAAAGCTAATTAGGCTTAAAAAGCCCTTAGGCTTTTATAAAAGCCTTAGAATTTATAAAAAGTCTCAATCAGGGAAGAAGTCTTCAAATTTTCAACAGTGGTTATCTCTGGGAATTCATTATATGTGAACTTCTTTTTGAAGAAAATGGTGAATATAGGAACACCACAGACATGACTGAGGCATAGTAAAGAGATAGTTGACAAAAGCATACATCACTTACTCTTTATTTTTATTATGAAATAAATAGAAAGATACAGAGAATAAGAACCCACCCATACACCCACAACCAGCTTTATCAGATTTTAAGAATTGACTATTTGCTTATTTTAAAAGAGAAATATATGATTAAAGAGATTTCCCATTGTATTCTTTCCCCAAATCCCATTTTCCTTCTGCCCTAGAGACCACCTGTTTCAGGTTTGATTATGTCCATTAATGCATTTATATTCTCCTAATATTTAGCCATGGAAAATATAAGTAACATTGATTTACATACTTTCACCCTTTATATAAATAGGTGATACTCTATCATACAAAATACTCTCTAGCTCAATTTCATTAATACTATTTTTGAGATTTATCCATGTTGATAGTAATATTATCCATCTTAATTTGCATTGCAATGTATATTCAGCACAATGACTAATTGCTTTCAACTTTTCATTTTCACAAACAGTGTTTCAGAGGGCCTTCATGTGTATCTCCCCAAGACATAAGGAGACTACAGAGGAAATGCTGGGTCAAAGATTAAATTCTCACCTTTATTAGATAATGCCAAATTGGGCTAAATACAAAAACTTCCAATAGCATTGTATGAATGTTCCTAAAGCTCCATATCTTTCCAGTAATTGACACTGTGATGCTTTTGCCAATGTGATTTAAAATAGTTCACTGTGGTTTCATTTTGCATATCCCTTACTAGTAATGATGTATAGGGTCAATTTTTTTAGTGCTCCCCAAATCCTTTCTCTGCTGGTGTGAACCATCATTAACATATGGAAAGTTTTCACAAATATGATACATACAACAATTTTCTTGCTGTTCTTAAGAATTTACACTTCAGCTAGGTGCAATGGCGCACTTATGTAATCCCAGTGACTTGGGAGAATGAGGCAGGAGGATTGTGAGTTGAAAGCCAGCTTCAGCAATATAGTGAGGTCCCAAACAAATTAGTGAGACCTGTTTCAAGATAAAGAATAAAAGGGGCTGGGGATATGGCTCAACAGTTACCTGGATTCAATCCCTAGTACCAACATAACAACTTGTGAAATTAAAGGGCAAAAGAGTCCATTAAGAACAACTGTGGGAGGCCAACCTTACGGGTGACTGAGTTACACTCCCCAGCTGGGTGCTGAGGCGCTCAGTCACAGAAATGGGTGTGTCTTGCTACAGCCCCATGGGTAAAGCTATGCTCACCTGTTCCTTTGTAATATAACCCCTTGCCCTGTTTAGGATAGAATCTTCCATGTAAGTGCCTTGTGTGTGTCCCCTTCTCTTACTGTGCCGTTGGGTGTGGCCTACCCCGGTGTCAGTCAACCTGCTAACAGTGGACATCATGAAGATAGACTCAGCCCCCTGAAACCTGAACCCTTGCCTCATTTGAATAGCTTCTCCTCAATAAAAGGGGTCAGCGCATGCCCTCACTCTCTCTTCCTGCGGACACTTAAGGTCAGAGGAGCCGTCACAGCAACCCCAAAGAAAAAGGTATTTGTGTCTCTTGGGTGGTTATTTCGTGCAGCCCAGTTAGCCCAGTTTAACTAGAGTGACCCCTGAGCCTTTTAGTCGCGAGAACAGAAACCCGGCAAACAACTCACTTTATTAGATTCAGTCTCTTCAGCCTAGGCTATATAATGCTCCTCAATTAATTTTGTTATTCTTCAGTTTTCTGGGGTTAGAAAATCTATTGTTTTAGCGCTGGGGCTGTAGCTCAGTGGTAGAACGCCCGCCTCACATGGGTTCGATCCTCAGCACCACATAAAAATAAATAAAGATATTGTGACCACCTACAACTGAAAAAAAATTTTAAAAAAAGAAAATCTAGGGCTGGGGTTGTGGCTCAGAAGTAGAGAACTCGTCTCGCATGTGCGGGACCCTGGGTTTGATCCTCAGCACCACATACAAAAATAAACAAGTGAAATAAAGGTGTTGTGTCCAACTACAACTAAAAAATAAATACTAAAAAAAGAAAATCTATTGTTTTATATTTAAGTAATAATTTAATTGTTTCAGCCTCTGGAATTTAACTCCATTGAGCACATGATTTTCTATTGTTCATGGTTGTCTTCTCATGCCTCAAATAGTGTCTAGCAAAGACTAACTACTTGACAGTCATTGAATGAATGAAAGCATATATTATCTATATTAGCCTATTGTTGTATGCCTTTGATTACCTTTCCATTTTGATTTCAATTTTGAAATCCACAAACTTTACATTTTTTGTATAATATAAGATGACTTATGTTTTCAAAATTACCTGAATTCACCCATACAATTAGTTGGGGTTGATGCTTTTTTTTATGGCACCTATGAATTTTTTTAAGTTAATAATGACCATTTCTATTATTTCCTTGACCTAAATTTAAGTTCTGTATTCTTCCTAGTGAATCCTTATTTTCTTTATTTTATTGGTTTATACAAGCCATTCTCTTTAGAAACTTTCTAAAACTGGTTATAATAGTTCTACTACCTGTGTCTATATTGATTATTCACTCAGAATATAAAGACTGTCTTATGTTCTAAAATTTTTGTTTTTCGAATTTTGGTCTGATGTTTCCCAGGGATGCTATCTACCTTGTCCACTAATGAATATTGTCTTAAGTCTGAGGAGTGAATGAGTTAATGTATGTTGAGTATGTATAACAGTGCTTAGTGCATAGTAGGCACCCAATACATATTAGGTTATCTGATATTGTTGACATTCTATATGAATTATTTTACATGCAAATTCCTCACTTAATAGGCAACAATTTACAACAGACATAATTTCATTTAATACATTTCTACAATAGAGTATCTTTTGTCATCCCTATTTGAAAAAAAAAATCCTGATGTTTAGATAATTAAAACAAGTTGTTCAAAGTCACACAATGCCATTAGTAGTGATTTTCCAGAATCCAAGTTCTTAGTTCTGGGAAGTACCTAGTGCCTAGAAGAGACTGGAATAAAATAAGGCTATGTGGAATGTAAGAAACAGATAATGGAGAGCCTCATTGACAATTTTAAAGGTGATGACAATTTTAAAGGAGATTGAATTTATAAGACTTGGTGATTGGTTGGATTGGGTGGTTAGTTTAAAAACAATAGCTAGCAAAAATCAGTTTTTTAAAAAATATTTTTTAGATGTTGATGGACCTTTATTTTATTCATTTATTTATATGTGATGCTGAGAATCGAACCTAGGGCATCACACATGTTAGGCAAGTACTCTACCCCTGAGCCACAACTCCAGCCCTGCAAAAAAACAGTTTTAACTAGAGAGATGTTAATTCTTAGACTTTAAAACTTCAGTTTGGGTGCATTATGGGAAATGGATTTAAGGGTGGCAAAAAAAGAATACCAGAAGGCACATTAGAAAGCTATTACACTGATCTATGTGAGATGAATCTTAGACTTAAGGTAACAATATTAAAAATAAGGAGTAAAAGTTCCAGAAATATTTAGGAGATTGAATTTATAAGACTTGGTGATTGGTTGGATTGGGTGGTGAGAAGGATTCCCCAATGTGAATTCTCTGATGATGAGCAAGGTGTGCATGTTGCCTGAAGGTTTTCTTGCATTCTTTACATTCATAGGGTCTCTCTCCAGTATGAATTCTTTGATGTTGGGCAAGGGATCCACAGTAACTAAAAGCCTTTCCACAAACATTACATTCATAAGGTTTTTCTCCAGTATGAACTCTCTGATGTTGAGTAAGGGATGAGTCATTGCTGAAAGCCTTCCCACATTTAATACACTCATAGGGTTTCTCTCCAGTATGAACTCTTTGATGTTGAGCAAGGTAGGCAATCTGGCTGAATGCTTTCCTACATTCCTGACATTTATAAGGTTTTTCTCCTGTATGAATTCTCTGATGTTGAGCAAGGTGTGAATTCTGGCTGAAGGCTTTCCCACATTCCTTACATTCATAAGGTCTTTCTCCAGTATGTATTCTCTGATGTACAGTAAGGTATGCACGAAGGCTAAATGCTTTCCCACAAACATTACATTCATAAGGTTTCTCTCCAGTATGAACTCTCTGGTGTTGAGCAATGGATGATCTATTGCTAAATGCTTTCCCACATTCAATACATTCATAAGGTTTCTCTCCGGTGTGAACTCTCTGATGTTGAGCAAGATAGGCAAACTGGCTGAAGGCTTTCCTACATACCTTACATTCATAAGGTTTTTCTCCAGTATGAACTCTCAGATGTTGAACTAGATGTGCATTCTGGCTGAAGGCTTTCCTACATTCCTTGCATTCATAGGGTTTTTCTCCAGTATGGATCCTGTGATGTTGAACAAGGTTTGATCTCTGACTGAAGGCTTTCCCACATTCCACACATTTATACGGTTTCTCTCCAGTATGAATTCTTTGATGAAGAGTAAGGGATGAGCTCTGGCTAAAGACTTTTTCACAATCATTACATTTCAAAAGTTTCTTCTCTGCATAGACACTCTTGGGTTTAGTACCCACCAAACTGTTTTTTAAGCTTTTCTTATATGTTTCATGTTTATATACTTTCTCCTCTTTGGGGATTATCTGCTGTGTATGAAGCAGGGTGTTCTGATGGAAACTTCCCCAAGATTTGTTATATTCTTCTTTTCTCTCATCAATAAAGGCTTCTTCATAAGGGATTATCTCTTTCTTGAAATATGTCTTCTGATTTCCTGGTTGCCTTTCAAGAGGGCCTTCACATTTCCAGTCTTCTCTCAAACTGGAGTACTCAAACCCAAAGCTTGTAAGTTTTTCCATTATATTCTGGGATGATTGTTCTTCATAAAGTTCCTGCTTTGGCATTAATTCTTTAGTCTCATACATAGATTCCCAGCCTGAAAAAATAAGAAGAAAAAAATGTCTCTTCTATTCTGTGCCAGAAAGATCATTTCTTAAATTACATTCATAAAGTTAACCATGTAATCTGGTTACACATCTGTAATCCCAGTGACTTGAGAGAGGCTGAGTCAGGAGGATTGTCAGTTCAGAGCCAGCCTCAGGAACTTAGTGAGGCCCTAAGCAACTTACTTAGACCCTATCTCAAAATAAAAAAGGGCTAGGGATGTGGCTCAGTAGTTAAGCCCGTCTGGGTTCAATCCCTGGTATCGAAATAAAGTTAACCATGTGAATTTTATAGCAAAGAAACCCAAAAGAACATTGGCTATCCTAGTTTTGAAGTGGGCAAGAAGAGAAAGTGAAATAAGTTGAAATAATTGAAATGATAAATAAATTTAGAAACCTGAGGAGGAATGATTAGAATTATAAGAAAATCAGTAAGGTCAATTTCAGGGCAAGAAGGAATTATGGATATGGTTGGATTCGGATATAATTTTAGATCTATGTTAAGAATACAGACATGAATATAGTCTCCATTCTTATAGCTGTTTCATTTAAGAACATTCATTGGGAGCTGGAGCTGTGGGCTCAGGGGTAGAGTACTTGCCTGGCATGTGTGAGGCCCTGGGTTCGATCTTTAGCACCACATATAAATAAATAAAAGATCTATTGACAACTAAAAAATATCTTTAAAAAAGAACATTTATTGAACAAATACTTAGATTAAATATTTAGTACTAGACACTGTCCTAGATGCTTTTAATGCCATAAAACAAACATTTTTACCTTCATGGACTTTATTTCTTAGAAGGGACTGAAAATAAGTAAGTAAATTTTATTGTACATTAGAAGAAACTAAGTGCTTCAGGAAGAGGAAAGCAGGGTAAGGGAAATCAAGAGTGCTGGTGAAGTCAAAGGTAAGAATCATTAATAAGTCAGGCAGGTGTGGTGGTGCGCGCCTATAATCCCAGCAACCTGGGAGGCTGAGGAAGGAGGATGGCAAGTTCAAGGTCAGACTGGCTCAAAATAAAAAATAAAAAGGGCTGGAGATGAGGCTCAGTAGTAAAGCACTCCTGTGTTCACTCCATGGTACCAAAAGATAATAATTCATAAGTTAACATTCAAGCAAAGATATGAATGAAGTAAAGAAATTAGTCACCTATATTTTTAGGAAAAAAACATTTTGTGCAGAAGAGAGAACCAGTTTAAAAAGATGTAAAAGTAGAAACATACCTAGTGTATTCAGGGAATAGTGGGAAGGACTACTCCTTTTCACACTAGAAGTATGGCTAGAAAGGACTGAGTAGTAGGAGATGAAGCTAGGAGGTAAAGGGTGACCAGATTATTTAAATTTTATAGGCATTTTGCTCTGAATAGTCAGATGGAGTGTTCTGTGGGCAGTTGCTGTATTACGAAATTATTGTAAGGTAGGAAACAAGGGGAGAAGTAAGGAGACCTATTCGAGTCATTCTGGTGAGAGATGATAGCCATTCACACCAGATAGATATTAGTGGAGGTATGAAGAGGTGGTAAGATCCTCAGTATATTTTATAGGTAGATCCAAGAAGATATCCTGACAGACAGGATACGACATGTGATAGAAAGAGATGAATCAAGCATAATTTCAAAGTTTCTGATCTGAGCAATGAAGTATAGAGTAGCTATCAATGGTGATATGAGTATTGCAGGTCTGGGCAAAAAGGTCTGAAAGATCTGGAGTTCAGTTTTAAATGTTTTTAAGGTGTCCTTTAGAGTGGGCAAATGAACACATGATGCTGGAAGTTAAGAAGTAAGTGTGGACTAGAGATTTAAAATTGGAAGTTGTCAGCATATAAGATGGTATTTAAAGATGTATCTGAAAAAATGAGTGTAGATAAAGAGAAGAGGAAAGAGCAAGGAATGAACCCTAGAGCACTCCCAACATTAATATATACAGGAAAAGAGAAGAAATCAGCAAAAGAGAAGTGGCAAATGTAAACAAAAAGGAGTCAGGACTGCAATAATACCTCATGATAATAAAGGTATAACAACTTGTTTCATGAATATTCTGAAAAAGAATCAAATATACTTCAACATAAAAAACAAGGTATTAAAATATATTAGATAAGGAATGTCAAAAATAAATAATAGTAATAATAAAAATAAAAGTAGTTATTAAAAAGAATTTTGTGGGCTGGGGTTGTGTCTCAGTGATAGAGCACTTGCCTAGCATGTGTGAAGCACTAGGTTCTATTCTCAGCACTGCATGTAAACAAATAAATAAAAATAAAGGTCCTCAACAACTAAAAAAAAATTGGAAAAAAAAATGAATTTTGTTTATGTGGTGGTTTGGATAAAACCCACAAATGATTTTTAAAAAGAGGGCACATAATAGAACATAAGGGCTATGGGAGAGGTTATTGTTTATACATCTACATTTTTATCTAATACAAATGTATTTTCCAATTTTAGAATAAATTTAAAAATAAAATAATTAACATTAAGAAGATACCTTTAGCACTGACAACACCATCACCAAATGGGGAAAATTCGATAGAAATAAACTTTACAAGAAATGAGCAAAATCAAGTCAGGCGTGGTGGTGCACATCTGTAATCCCAGCAACTCAGGAGGCTGAAGTGGAAGGAAATGAGACCCTGTCTCAAAATGAAAAATAAAAAGGGCTAGGGGATGTGGCTTAGTAGTAAAGCACATCTTAGTTAAATCCTCTTTACTAAAAGAAAAAAAAAAACCTTGAAAAATTAAAAGGTAGAGGGGTGTAGATCAGTGAGAGTGTTTGCCTTACATCCAAGAGGCCCTGGGTTCAATAACTAGGTCCAGGAAAGAGAGAGAGAGAGAGAGAGAGAGAGAGAGAGAGAGAGAAGGCAAGAGAGAGAAAAAACAAAAGGTTGTTGAATTTTGTCAAATGTTTTTCTTTATTAATTAAAATGATCATGTGGTTTCTTTCATTCTATTATTAAGGTGTTTTATATTGATCAGTGTTCATATGTTGAAGCTTCCTTATGTTTCAGGAAGAAAAATACTCTGAAAAAGAATCAAATATACAAATATACCAAGAGCTATGTTTTGAAAAGATAACAAAACTGATAAACCTTTAGCTAGATTGACTAAGGAAAAAAAATAAAGAGAGAAGACCTAAGTAAAATCAGAAACAGTGACATTACTATCACTTTTACAGATGGGATTACAAGACAGTACTATGAATTGCTGTATGCCAGCAAACTGGGTAACTTGAATGAAATGGACAAATACCTGAAAGCTCAAACCCAAACAAAATCATAACATAATGGAAAACCTGAACAACACTACTATAAATAAGGAGACTGAGTCAATCATTTGAAATCTCCAACAAAGAAAAGGCTAGGATCAGATGGCTTACCTGATGAATTCTGTCAAACATTCAAAAAAGAGTTTATATCAATACTCTTCAAACAGAAAATCGAAGAGCAAAGATATCCAAACACATTATATGAGGTCAGCATTATCCTGATACCAAAGCCAAACATATTATTAAGAAAACCATAGATTGGTATTTCGTAAGAATACTGATGCAAAAATCCTCAACAAAATGCTAACGGAATTCAACTGTATACTGAAAGAATTATACAATACAAAGTGAGAGTCATTCCTGAAACATAAGGAAGTTTCAACATATGAACACTGATCAGTATTAAACACCATAATAACAGAACGAAAGAAAACACATGATCATTTCAATTAATGAAGGAAAACAATTGACAAAATTCAACAACCCTTTGTATCCTTTCAACTTTTCATGGTAAAAACTCTCAACAAACCAAAAACTACAAGAAAACTTCTGAAACATAATAAAAGCTGTATAGGTCTGAAAACCTCACAGCACAGATCACATTTTCAATAAAGAAAGACTGAAAATATTCTTCCAAGATCAGGAACAAGGCAAGAATGCCTCCTTTGTCCCTTTTATTAAATCACAGTACTTGAAGTCCTAGCTAGAGCAATGAGGAAAGATCAAGAAATTAAAGGCACCTGAGTTGGTAAGCAATAACTAAAATTCTACCAAAAAACTACTAGAACCCATAAAAGAATTCAGCAGAGCTGGAGTCATAGCTTAGTTTCAGGATACAAAATCAATACACAAAAACAGGTGCATTTCAGACACTAACAACAAATTATCTGAAAAGAAAATGAAGAAATAAGGAATAAACTTACCTAAGGAAGTGAAATACTTACATCCTAAAAATTAAACAATATTGCTATAAGAAATTAAAGATACCAATATATGGAAAGTCATCCTCTGTTCATTCACTAGAAGATTTAATATTAAGATGTCAAAACTTCCCAAAACACATGTGAGGCAACTGCTCTACGACTGAGCCACAACCCCAGCCCCCATGAATAGTACTTTTAAAGTGCTTTGAACAGTGGGACTGGGGTTGTGGCTCAGTACACGTGTTCAATCCTCAGCACCACATATAAATAGACAAATAAAATAAAGGTATTGTGTCCATCTACAAATAAAGTGTGTGTGTGTGTGTGTGTGTGCGCGCATGCGCGCGCGTGGTTTGAACAATTCCATCTTATAGTATGAACTCAATAACTATTAGCTGCTATTAATAATAGTAGTTTCCAAACTAATTTTTTCTGAATGATCACTTCATTTACCTTTAATCAACATTTTTGAATTTTCATTTTAAACAGGGTTTGAATCCTATTCCCCAGCTCACTCCCCAAGATGCTCAGGTGTTATTTGTATGTATAAATAATCAAACAATTAACAGGCTAGTAGCAGAAATATGATATAGCTATAGAACAACACATTTGAAGAGAAAGCTGACATCAGAGAAGCTCAGAGAAAAGGTGAGAGGCAGAAGAGTACAGGTAACTGTTAATGAAAACAGAGGTCAGCAGCTAGAAAGCATTGAAGGGAGAAGAGACTAAGAATTTAGTATTGCAATGTAGGAAGGAGTGTCAGATAGACATAAGAAACAGGTCAAATGAAAGACTAATGTTCATTGTA